TGGAAAAATCGAATAGTGAAGAAAAAAGGGAAAATACCAGGGGGAGGTAGAGCAAGTGGTGTTGAGGCAAGGGGAGGACTTTGTACAGCCTCAGGTTGCTACAAATCGAAACAGAAAATTAGAAAAAGAAATATGTACCAGTCAAAAGATACATTGAAATGTTTAAAAGTTATACCTCGAGAACAGGTGTTGGGGAAGGAGGTACAAAATCGACGTTGGTCGATAAGGTCGCCGATGGACGATCCTGGAAATGTCGAATTTCAAATTCATGTTATAAATTTCATCGAAGTCAATATGTAAATTTTTTCTTTTAACAGAAAAAACGACTTACATGACTCGAATGAGTAGTGGGGGTGGTTTTTGCCCGTGGAAGGGATTGTGTTGGAGTTCGTCGACAATGGATCAAGAGGTGGTTGAACGGATCGAGGACTCCTTGATTTTCGTTTACGTAGATTAAAAAATCGAAAAGAAATAGGTATAAGAATTCTAGGTGTGTCAACCAAAAACAAATGAATGAGAAATAGTAAAAGATCGAAAAGGACCTTCGATTTCTTCGAAGATGTAGAGATGGTGGCCGATTGTTTACGCTTTCGGACTAAAGCAGAAGAGTCCGACTCATCGGAGGATTCCGAGTCCTTTTCTTTTTCCTTCTCTTGCGCCTTTTCGAAGCGACTACCTTAGTAGATTTTGAAGCTGTCGAGAAATGGAGATAATTAGTTTCTAACATACAAAATTAAAAAATATGAAAAGACGAGTAAAGCCTCACCAAAAGGTGATGGAGTCAAAATTTTGACTCGATCGATATGTATTAGCCAAGGAGGCAGGAGGTCTTCGGGAAAGTTAAGGTAAGGACAGTAAGATAATTTCGAGACAAAAATATCTTTGTTTTTGGGTTTTGGGCGAAGTGTTTCCCTTAGGGATCTCAATTCTCGAACCCATTTGGGATGAGTTAATGGTTTGGCAAGTCCAAAAGGAGCTGTGGGAAAAGTGGGAAGGCGATTTGGACAATACATTTCAAAAGGGGTTCTACCTAGAGGATTGATTATTTTGTGGTTCGATCGGTTAGCGTCTGTTTTATTGGATAAGGAGATAACAACATCATAATAGGTCGATTCTAATTTCAGTGAAGTGTAACATATCTGATAAAAATTCTCGAATCGAGATATTTGGAGACAGTGCAAGTGTGTACCTTTCTTCGCTTTTGACTTGTCCTGCAACACAAGAGAAGGATGAGCAGTCAGTTTCTGTCGAACTTCATCAAAAGCAGCATGACTACTCGAGAACCAACCGGCCCACCATTGAGAAAAACCCACAGTAGATAAGTAATTCGACTCGAAAGCATAGGGGTAAAAGTGCATCGAGGTTTTTGGTAAAAGCTCAACAAGCTCCCGACTAATTGTGGATTCAGTTAACTTGGACTTTGGGGAGGTATCAAGGGAGAAGAAAGGCAAAGATTGGCTCAAACCAAATTGTCTCGAGAAAAGTTGGGGGTAATAGGTGACAAGTCTAAAATCTTTCGATTGAAAACCCGATACCAACACATCGTGGGTCAAATAATTACTCCATATATCTATCAGATCCGATTGCAACCCAGGAGTCGAGGCAGGGAATTTAGACTTAAACCAACTTGGTCCCCTAAGTCGGTCACTTATTTGTCCAAGATGTACGGTAAAGGGGACCAAGGTTGAATCGAAGGAAAACTTTGTCAACAAAAAATTCAGATATCTACAATAAGCCGCTTCATCAGGCTTATGGCGAGGGTGGCGAGAAGATAACCGAGCACCTTCTATATTTATACTGGGGGGAATGGTGGAGGTCGGGGGAAGGATGCTCTCAAAAATCGAGGTGAGCCACAATTGTACAAACCAAATGGGGCCAGAAAAGTTCCCCGATGCTTTAGGGGTGCTCAAGATTTCGACGGCTTCGTCGAAAGCAGCATATACATGGGCTAGCAGAAGTTTAGCCAAACATATCCTAGGCTGGCCTATATGTAAGAGATATGCGAGGTCAAAAAGATGGGGAGAAATTTGGATCGATCGGGGGTAGAAAACGTGGGTACATAACCAGTACACCAAAAAAGCTATGTGCTCCTCTTCAGTCACCGTTATCAAGTCGTCATCAACAAAATGCCTCTCAAGGAAATGTCCGTAAGCTTTCGATTCACAATCGATCTTTAATCTTAGAGAGTTATCCGAAGGACATGTACCCTTGAAGTATTTTTCCCCCGTAGGTTTCAAGCCAGTAATAGCCGCGATCTCAAAAAGGGTGGGTGAAAGGGGGCCACAAGGCAACTCCAAAGCATGTAAATCCTTGTTCCATAAATGCACCGCAGGTAGAAACATTGCCATGTCCAAAAACGACAGATCGCATCGAGACAGGTGCAAAAAGTCAAAAATCCCAACATCCTTCCAGTGGCTCCCAAACTTAGTTTTTACCCTATCAAACCACCTAATGAAGGAAGGTTTTTTGGAAGGAGGGCCTGTTCTATATACTTTAGAGGTAAGATTCAAAAAATCAACCCTAACTTCAGGATGATGAATAAGAGTCGGGCTAATCGAGAGGTTGAGAGGGGAGAAAATGTCATCTATAGGACGAAGAGGACCCCCAAAAGCAAAATTAACCCCCTCAGCAGTATAAGGAATAAGTACCTGCGTTTCAGCAATTTTGCGGGAAGCCTCCTCCATCAAAGGGACTGGAGCGAACCTCTGGTTGTTAATCTCCAGCAGGTTAGAAGGCAATGAGGAAAGGGGTGGAACGGAAAAGTCAGAAGATTTTGACGAGGTGACCATCTTAGTGAGCTTAGGAAAACAGAAAGAGAAGGGTTAACGAATGAGGTAGCAAGGAGGAAGACAACAGCTCAAGGAAGACGATGAAGCTGCAAGCAGAGGGTAAAAGTTCGCATAAAAAACCAAAGTAAAAAAAAAAAAAAAAAAAACAAGGGAGAGGTTAAGGAGAAAATCGCCTAGGGAGCTGGAACGACAGACGCGAAAGGTAATAAATGTAGCGTACTGTAAAAGCAACAGACTGATATGATGGCGACGTAAAACGGAAAGGAAAACCTAAAACCCTTTTAATCCTAGAACCCCAGAAAACCTAAACCCTAAGTTCCTTAGGCTTCCAAACATTAAGGCGGGAATATTGAAAGAATATAAACTGAAATCATTCATATTCTTTCAAGGGGGCATTTTGTTATTGTGGAATCGAGAAATATGATCGATTGATAAACCGGTAAGATAGACAAAAGAAATCATTCGATGTCCAATTAGAAGTACGTAGTACATAACATCGAGAGGCACAATCGAAAATTGGGTGAATGATAACCAAATGCTTGTTGTCGAATAAAAAACTAAGAAACTAGAATCATATGATGTTGAGGTTAAACCCAAAGCAATGCAAAGTGTTCGATATCATCGAATGCGAAGGGAACATGGACATCGAAACTCTGGACAAACCACGAGAGAAGAATAAGTCAAACGCACGTATAGAAAGCGGTTCCGAGACCATGGAAGGAGTCGAGGATCGTGAGAACGTGGGAAACGTAGAAAAAGAAACCGTCATGCACGAAAGAACGTGGTAGCGATCTTATTAACTCGCTCCTAGAAAGCATTGAACGATGCCCTATAAATAGAAGCAAAGAAGGACGAAACGAGGGAGCGGAAATTGGCAGATGACAGAATCAGTAGTGAAAAGTCTACCGGAGAAACGACGAACATCATGAAGTTTCTAGCAATCTGGATTTCCTTGCTCACTGAGTACATTTACCACTTTCTGTATTTTCCTTGGTAATTTATTTTGATGCAACTTAAATTCAGCAGTTTTATGTTTCTGTATTTTCGATTCCTTGTCATTTCAATTCAATGAAAGTTTAAGTTTCTGCATTTAAGTTTCCATGTTATTTAACATTCTGCAAATCTCGATTTCCTGTTATTTATTTTTCTTGCAAGCTCGATTTGTTGTTATTTACATTTGCGCTGTTTTCGATTTCTTGTCATTTACAATTAATGCAAATCTGGGGTTTTCGCACTTTACATTTCTTTGCAATTTAATATTCCGTTTCGATATTTTTACTGCTTTCGATAGTCTAAATATAAAATACTAAAAAATAGCATTCTTGGTAGGATGTAACTTTCGATTCTCATACACGTTTTCGATTGAAAGTCGATGCTAGCCTAAGTGAAAAGAACTTACGTGGGAGAATTTCGATTAGGACCATAACACCGTTTAGAATCGAAATCGATCGAAATTCCACCGAAACACTCTCAATCATATGTAATTAACTCACTGCAGTTTTGATTTAAATAATTTTATATTAAAGTTTCAATTATTTATTATGAATTTTAATTTTTTATAAAATATAAAATATTTATCTATTAAACTTATAATTATATAGAATAAATATTTATATGGTACTATCAATAAAATAGTACTAATTATTTTATATTTTTTTCTCTAATTTCATTTTCTCATCCAAAATGAGGAGCATTGTCGAATACACAAAACATGAATTGGGAAATTCCTTCTACTTTGAAGAAAAACTGACCCGGCCCGTTAATGTTTAAGCACATTGTCACCTACTCTTGCTTCTGCACACTTTCTTTATTCGTGTATCTCATATTTATTTTAATATATATATATATATATATATATATATATATATATATATATTAGGTTTTAATTTAAAAATATATTATATACTTTAAATTAATTTATCTATAGTTTTTTCAGATTCACTTATTCAAAATATTTTTGCTGGGGATTACAAGAAGGTAATATTTTAATTTGTGGGGAGTGCAAGAAGAAATAACGTTGTTATAAATACCACCCCACACCATACTGATCCAACTGTCTCTCCCATCTTCAAATCGTTCCCGCCTTTATTTGCTATCCTCCAGTTTCCACCTTCCTTCCCTTGCTCTCTAGCAAACTCCAAACTCGTGCCGTTTTTGCAGATTCAGATGACGATGAACTAGACGCCGTTTCATCTCCGTTCCCAAAAGAAAATGAAGATCAATAAAGCTTGCGATCTCTCCTCCATCTCTGTCTTTCCTCCTCCTCTTGTTCATTCAAGGTCACTCCTCCCTCACTGTTTTACGCTTTTCAATTACGATTCCTTTCATTCAATCCATTGCTTTTAGTAGAACGCTCCGAGAGAAGAACTGTTAGTTCGACATTTGAAGTTTATTAACGAACTTCGTGTTTCTGCGGCACGCTCTGTTTGGATCCTGCGAAATAATGAGATCTGGAAACTAAGTTAAAATGATTTGTATATCACAACACATATAACGCGTTTCAATTCGTGCTATAATAGTCCCCTTGAACTGTTGATGTTGACATAATTTTTTAAATCGCCTTTTGTGTATGAAGGAAGGCGAACAACGTATCGAGTGGATTGCAAGTTTCTCACTCTCAGCATCGCTCGCAACCATCACAGCAATCGTTTTCTCAGGGACTTTCGTCCCAGCACGGGTTGCTGTCTCATTTCTCTCAAAACTCTCTCGACGAGGCCGTCACAACTAATGATCCGGTTAGATCTTGTAAAGCGACGCAGTTATATTGACATTCCTAATTTTATAAGCACATTTTTTGTAAACTGAGTTTATTGTAATTATAATTAATATGTTAATAGGAGGTGGAAATAATTGCGCTTATTGCTCGAGTTGAAAAAAAGCGTGATTGTACCTCTTTATAAATTTTTTGTGGCCTCAGAAACACCTAATGTCAATAAAGCATGATATCTGCAAGAGAAATAGCTAATTTTGTTGTTAATTAGTTCATGTGCTGCGTAGGATACAGATAGTGTGAATCTATTCTATGGTTAACCTTAATTTTATCAATTATATATTTGTCACTAGCTTGTGTTAAATTTACGACAAAACTTAAAATGCAGTTCTGGAGTATTTTTTGTGTTGTCTTCAATTATAATTGGAATTTCAGCTTAACAAATCTCTGTAATAAGAGTTGGCGTTGAAAAGATCAGCATAAGTTACTTGACTGAAACTTTAATCGTGATTGAAAAAAACACTTAAAAACACCTGAAGTTATGCATTCAAGTTTTGTCGACAGATTTAACTGGAAACGCCTCCTTTACCCTGCATCAAATGCATAATACTAGTACGTTATTAACCATAAGTTTTCCGGGTAAATAGAGAACATCTTCAAATCATCTTCACCCAATTATGAAATGTTTCAAATGAGCAGAATATTGTTTTTAGAACATAGTACATAATTACAAGTGATTGAAGATTATATTTCAATGTTTATTACATTCTTATAATACTTGTAGAGAGTTGGTTCTCAAGAACAAGAGAACTCTTTGAGGAGGCTTTCTAGCTTGCCCCGACTTACATATTCACGGGAAGAGAGTCAACCGCCTAACTCGAGATCTTCGTCCAATCTAATGCTCAAATGGAATTCTGCAGATCATAAAAGTAAGACTATTGAATGAAAAACATGGATTTTATTTTTCTAGATTATATTTTTTGCATACACGTTAGACATATCTGAGTTTCATGATACAAAAGCAGAAAGTAAATAAAGTTAGAGTCCTTTTAACGAAGATAAATAAATCTATTAGTTGCTCTAGCAGGTCAGTTAAATGAAGGACTTGAACAACGAATTGGCATAATGGAAACTTCATTGAGCAGGTTCGCAATGATCTTGGATTCTGTTCAAAGTGACGTTATGCAAGTAAACAAAGGAACAAAGGAAATTATTTTAGAGGGTAAGTAACTCACTCGTATTTTAACTATTGACAATATTCTGAGAAAATTTTTATGGAAGTTGTACTTACACCAATCAAGAGACGTTCTACCGAAATTTTGTATGGCTCTCCTTTGATTTTCTGCTTACGTTGATTTTTCCAATAATTGTATATTCTTTGAAACACAATTCAACTGAAGGAATGCTCGTTTTTTATACCAAGAACTCTGATTTCTATCTCGATTTTTTGTTGATTAAGTGCTTGATGCCAGTTTGCTCAGTCTGGACCTTTATCAGATAATGAAAGTTAGCACTAATTTTCAAATTTATGATATTCCGAGTTTTCTATGGCTCGGTCTATTACGTAAATTACTTTTATAACAGTTTACAATTTTAACTCTCACTTTTCATTCAGTGGAATGCATAAGGCAGAAGTTGATTGCTCAGGATAACTCATTTCAGTTAATGGTACTATCCTGATTTCTATCTTGACTTGCATGATTTCACTTACATCAATGGATATCGAAGTTCAGTAGATTGATAACAGTAGTCTGGTTTTAAATCAGACTAAAGGACAAGAAGAATTTAAAGCAATCGTTGACGGGAACTTGAAATCTTTGTCTGAACAAATGAGCCATGTTTCAAAGAAAGAGAAGTTACAGGATGTATATATAGCGGTTTCTGCCTTGCCTCAGCTAATTGAAGCCTCCCTGCAAAATGTACAAAATGATCTCTGTAACATCACCAAGGAAATGCAGGCACGTACCTTATGGCAAATTATAATGATTAAAACATGTAGACGTAACCCCTATTCTCGCATTTTACACCGCTACAGGAAAATGCCTGCCCCCCTAGATTTCCTTCTTTTCCTTCTTTGTTGTCACAAGATGGCCGTCAACAAATGATGCTTTGCCATTAGCACTTGCAGGAAATTTCTTGCAATCTCAAAAGCGTCAACCAAAAGAATCTGGCGCCGCCTTCTTTGTCCTCAAAGGTGCTTTATCTTTATTAATGAACCATTAACAGATTTTGCTGATTTTTTAATGATAAATGGAAGATTACCTTGTTCGAATTTTTGTCGTGAAAAATTACTTTCTTCAATCATGGTCATTTTCTACAGTGAAACAGTAGTTTTTCCCTTCTGATACACTGTTGACTTGCAGAATTTAAGCAAACAGGTTATCACACCGAAAATGCGTCAGCCTCTTGCTAAGTACGTATACCTTTTAACTTCACCTACTCTACTAATAGGGCCTAATCAATAGTTCTACATTATTAGTTAATATCAGTAAGTTTAATTTATGAAACTATTTTCTAAGCGTTGGCATGACATATATTTCATCTACTTCCCAATATGTTTATTAATAATTTTATAATATAATTCTCGCTCTCAAATGTAGGACTAGTTTACTGTAGATCGAATTTAACTTTAAAACATGAAATGTATTTGATATGAAAATGGTTGATTAGTGACAATTATTTATTTCCTAGCTTCCATATTTGACGAGTAACACATGGTTTACTGGATTAAACTGCTACATTGCTATGCGGCTGAATGAATTATATGTGAAAATCACACGACGCTATAAGGAAGAGAGAGCACAGACAATGCACGTGTCTGTGAAGTTTCCTTTCCAGTTAGAAACAATGATCCAGCAATTGATCCTTCTGGTTCAGCCCCCAACATTGGGCCCTGGCCCTATCTATATTCATTAATCAACTGTATCAAAAATTGTTTTTCTCATAAACTGTGGTTCCATTTTGTGTATTAACTGGAATTCTCACTTGCTGAACGGGTGAAGTTTCTTTTGGAGGCTATTCATCCTTTTATCTGGAGAATGTTGCTTTTCCTATTTTTGCACGACAAACACGAGATAACAATTATCCAATTTTCTACGCTCTGAATCATGAGTTTTATTTATGTATAATATCTGCCTCTGCTTTTGGCGGACAAAATCTAGGTATATTGGAATGATGATTTATTTTATATTACAATTTTGTTTCTCCCCATTGCATCGATTTATTGATATTTACGACTGATTATATCTGACACTTGCAAAAGTATTTGTTACGAAGAGTGACCAAGGACCGAGGTATTTTTCTTGACTTCAGTGAGGCGAAGACGAGTGTACAAGCTGCTGTACCTCCAAAGGTAGAAAGGGGCGGCTGCAAGCCAGTAAAAAGGGAAAGAGTCACTTTTTTAGATAGAACATCTATGAAGTTGCCAAAGAAAAAAGAACCAGAAACTAAGAAGGTATTTCAAATGTTCCCTTTCATGATCAGAAAGTTACATGCCCTTCAGTAAGTTGGCGATACGTATAGTTACATAACATGCACTCAACAGTGACAATTGTGATTTCATTTTCATGCAAAAGATTTCTTTTATTAATTTTACAGATCTTATACGTCCTTTATCAATTGTCAAATACTGTTTGAATCACAGTGTATAAATGGAGGTAGAGACTGTGCTATTGTCATTGAATCTGACGAGGAGACTGAACTTGGTTTTTCGTGCATGATCAAAGAAAACTCAGGTAGGTGACAAAACTACGATAGAACTTCGTCATTTTCGTTGTTAATATGGTGTATTACGTGAAAAAGAACAAAGCTTAGATGTAGATTTTTAGATACTATTATTCAGTGACAAAACCACATAATATTATAGGTGTTGTTTTCGATTATATAAAGTTTTATTTTGATAATCTAGGTAATAGATATTCAAATTAAATGTCAAAATAAATTATTAAAGTAAAACGTTAATTCTAATAAAAGAACAATATATAACAAGAGACATCTTATACTGGTTAAAAGTAAAGAATTAGTTTAAATATTTACCAATATCTTAGTAAAATATATCGTGGTTTCATATTTTTAATGGCTTTTTTAAATAGTTTAGAATTGAATTTTATTTATTATAATTAATAGCAAGCAGTTATGAGCTACGGAAACATTACTTATTCATCGTTACAAAAAATGTATGATAGTGTTTTATTTGCTTTTCGACCGAAAATTGGATACTACATTGCGCAATGAATACAACTGTCATATGATTCTACTTATCGTGATAATGATTTATAGTACGACGTGTATTTATTGATTTGCAATATATAGATTTAATTTAACTCTATAATCTCTTGTTATTCGCTATTTGAATAGAAATTATACTAACTGTTATTTAATATACGTTTCCATGGAGAACAGGAGAACACCTATTTGGTAAATTGTCCAAGGAAGAAGAGGAAGAAACTGAACGAATTTTGCGGAAAGCAAGGAGGCGTAAGAGGAAGAGTATTTTATTACTGTAAAAATATATTGAAGGTAACCTATTTTAATTCTAACTTCCTCCCGAGTCAAATTACTTACTGCCAGGACGTAAATACCAACGAGTCCACCTTATCAAGTTTTAGATCGAACGGTTACTGCTTTCTACTGTTTTATTATGCCTAAATAATGTTATAACGCATGGTCCACAAGCTATCTTTACAGTTCAGACACTGTAACGGACAGTTAAACCCAATGTCATTTTAATCCCACTTTCATGGTTGTACAGGAACATTTTGTTAATTTCAGATGCAGAAGGAAAATCCCCGGGGCTAAAATTTGGATAAACTTGTGAAACATTTGCTATTTTTTCATAATAAAGTGAAATCTCGCCTTAAGAATTAGAATCAATCTTTGTTATACAGGTACTATTCATGTCATGTGTAACTTTAATTAGAAGTAGTATAAAAAACAAGTATTAAACTGCATATAAGCTTATCATGGGAAATTGTTCATTTTTACCTGCTTTGTTATCCATTATTAATTTTGTGCAATGCCACGTTTCTTTAGATAGGAAGTTGTTTGTTCTTTCTATTTTGATTGCAAGATATTAAGCTTCACCGAAAGCTTATACTTAGTTTTTTCATTAATTCATTATAGTAATTACACCAAAAAAGGAAAAGTTATTCAGTGGTCAGTTGACCTTTTTCTGAAGAAAAATATGTTCTTCCCTTTGTGAAATTGGGTTCCACTGCCCCAAATTACTGGGCCTTCTTGAACATCAGGTCGGTTGAAAATTCGAAGTGATAGAGGGGAATAGAGTTTAGTAGAGAGTATTGAGAGATATCCGTGTCTGCAGGGATGCCGATAACTTCAAATCCTAGTGCGTCCAAGTAGATTTTATTTGTCAGGTGGGCTGTTTGAACCCATAAGCTCCCATGTTTCCCAACTAAATGATTTTCCTGTATGTTAACAAGAATGAGAAATTAATATTTGCTATAATAATACCACAATTCCACATAAATCTTATCTCAACACATTGTGCAATTTTCTCTCACAGAACATGTTTACAGGAATTTCGCTTTTTCATGCATCTTTTTTGTTTAGAAACATCATTGCAACTTATTTGACGGTTGCTAAACAGTGAAATGAAACCCACTTGTTAAAGATATTTTCAATGCTATGGTTTTGAGATGAGAAGTATGGGACCAGGCCAGACGAGTTTCACCTTAGCCTCGTATTTACAATGGTAAGGAAGGTAGGTTTTGACTAATTCGCTGCTAATCATAATTTGTTGTTACTTGGGGCCCTATCCAACTATAGCATTGGCTCTGTCCGGTGACAACCTCTCAATCCTCTCTTAAGAGGATACGTGACTGGACTCTATAATAGTAGGTTCCAGCAGACGAGAGTTGAGTTTAGTATAAGAAACTATTAAAAGTTAAATTATTGTTAAAATAAATAATTATATTTCATGTTTGATAGTGTCGGACATAATTATTTTCTAGAAAAGATGCATGTGATAAACAAAATAATAATAATGGGTTTCACCTGAGAGGAAACATGAGAACACCACTCAAACCGACATTAATGAAGGATGAAGCAACCAATTAAACTGGAACACTCCATAGTGTATGGTCGTACTCTAAACATTATTTGCCTTGTTATATGGAATTTTTGCTCCTTTTCTCTTTTATATTTGAAATTATTTTCCATTTTCTAATCTCATCTAATCACACAGAAGAACCTGTTATATTTCTTTTATTTTTAAATAAAAAATAATGTAATAAAGGTATCATTAAGACAGGACTCGATGTATGGAAGTTGAAGTACTAAAATCAACCTTTCTTCTTGGATTGATCATCGTTATCCTATCGAAGTCGAGTGTATCTACACTAGATGCCAATGTGATCTCTTTTTTGTATTAAAAATTAATCTTGGAGGTCAACGTTACCGTAATGTTTTATTCAGAATTTTCAATTCCAATCGGATAAACCAACAAATATTCTTCATATTATCTATCATTTTAAATTATTAGATGCTACGAAGTTGTTTACTGTACAAAGAGGGATTGTTTATCACCCTGTGATACATTATCTTTTTGTCTTACTATCGAATTCTAATATATATCTACGTCATTCAGTGTTTTTAATTAACAGAAATACTTTCTTTTTCTTATTTTAATTTTGAATATTACAATCCATTTTTCATTTGGTTATTTATAGGTTTATTTTTATATAAAATACTAGGAAATAAATTATTGAATCGTGAATTCACTTCAATATTTCCTTTTCACGAAGAAGATTTTACTTCTTCCTATGTTGGCTGTATAACCATTATTTGTGTAAAATGCATAACAGATTCATCTTTCCTCACAGTGCGTTACAACTTTGCTTTCTCTTTATCCGTCTTGATATCATATGGAGTGAAAGCACTTTATAAAACACAAGGTAGAAAAGTGGTGGCATCCAATGCATAAAAAGCCAGTAGTTGGAGTTAGCCTACCCACTATTGTTAGTAAAAGAAAAAAGTAAAGCAGAATAATAGGTTGGACAAGGAAGAAGTATGAAGTTAACTCCATCACAAGTTTCACATACATAATGATGTTTTAATAATTGATAAATGTGCATGCCCATAACTTCATCAATCAGTTTGTTTAACTTTATTTATTTTTTGAAAAAGTAATTATGTGATAAGTTAGATTCAGAATTAACTGAAAATTATATTTTTAACCATTTGCAAGAGTAAATTGTTTAAATTTTTACCCTTTTTTGAAAAAAAAATCATAATTTTCTAAAATATATCCTTTAATCGAATAGAGAAATTTTTATGCACTATTAATATATAGTCAATTTTTAATAAAATATAATAAACGCATTTCTTAAGAAAATTATTAAGAGAACTTGAATTTACCATATATATCTTTAAAAAAAATGCTTCAATAAACTTATCTTTAAGGATTTTTAGGGGGGGGGGGGGAATAAGAAAAAATAAAATATTTTTTTATAAGTTAAAATTAACTTATGCATAATAAAAAAAAGTCTTGCAAATTAATTATTTATCAATTAATTTTAACTTAAAAATTATTTCATTTTTTTATTTACCCAAACAAATCTAACCTACTTTTCATAAAACAACTTTGAGTCAAAGTCGAAACTAAAATACCTGAAGTTAAACCTTATCTTTGATTATTAGTACAAATATGGATAGGGAAAATAAAGAAAAAAAGTACAATTTAGATACCACCAAAGACATCACGCAACAAGTTCGCAACTACCGGTTTAATCTCCTGTGGATCGACACAGCACGAACCCAAGTACATCTATAATTGACGCGTGACCATGTTATACTTTTTCATGTAAAAATTCCAATTTTCCAAATGCAACATCAAAGCAATATCTATAGTATAGAATTATAATAGAAAGAGCACCTATTAGACTATTTTATCTTTTAATTACTATTTTAATTACTTTATTTTTTAACTATTCTCTAAATTGAATTACAGTAGTTTTTTTTTAATTTCATGTCAGAGTAATCTAATTAAATCATCAAAATTATTAAAAAATAATATTCTTAAAATATGTGGATACAGTAATAATTGTTTTCCTAGTTAAATAAATAAAAGAGAAAAAAAATGACGAAGATTAATTGCCAAGTAACTTGAGCCTTTTAATTACGTATGTTTGGTCATTTTGAGAGAAAGTTATTTTTCTTGCCTGATACTGAAGATGAGGTGAAAGGCAACTAACGGCACCACATCTCTATTTGCATGGAATATGGGGAAGGTAGCATGAATGATTACATTAAGAGTAAGTGCTTCCATTGTTCTTCATGGTCCTCAATTTGTCATGCATCCACCCTACAACCCCACTCACCTTTCATTTCATACAATGCCTTGAGAACAAAGGCAAAATTAAAGATCTATATCTCACAAAGAGAGAAGGGACACGAAGGAGGAAGAATTAAGTGTGAGATGAAAATAGTAAAAGGGAAATAATGATTAAGTTACATACCTTATCAAACTCATTCATACATTATCTTCATATTTTTAGGGTTTTTTATGCTACTCACACTTTGTTAAGAGGAATATGACTTAGTCATTGTTTATAGGATATTAGGATCCATGAATTATATATGTTTAGTTAACTCAGAATTAGATTCCATGTTTGTGGTCCCAAAGGGGTTCACTAAAACCTTTTATTCTCTCCACACAAAATCAGAATCATGTCGATGGATCCAATAGATTTCACAACTTTGATACAAGTGCCACGAGTAGGAACAATATAAATGACATTCAATTGGTTTCTGCTAGGTACTATAATATATTATTCCACCCATTATTTTCTACCAACAACCACAATGACACAAACAATGGTTAAAAAGTGGGAAAAAAAAAACACCATTTCCTATTTAATGGTATTGCTGTTGTGAAAACTATGGGGTCTTTCCGAAAAAAAAAAAAACACTAGGTGAAGTGTCGAAGTGCCATGCATGAAGGTACACACGTTTCGGCTAATACAGTCCCGTCAATGTGGGTGGGCCCAATTGCTTTTATTCAGTGGGGGCCCAATAGGACTATTTTTAGGCCCAACTGCTCCTCACATGCTTCATCGGAAAAGCATTAGAATTCCGAAATCAAATTTTGCGCCTCGCAGCAACAACAATTATTAAAATCAGTGTCGTAGCTACGTTTGTAATTTTGCATTCATAGATCGTGCTTCTGCAACTCGACCAGTGTTCTGCTCAGAGGAAAGAGAAAGAGTGTTGTATTATGTTGCATATAGAAGTTGGAAAGAACAAATTGGGTCAAATATTGGATCCAATATAAAATGTAGATCATAAAAACAAAATGTAAAAGAAAGATCAAATGGTTGATGCATTATATCATTAATGAGTTTCTCTTTTATTTGAATTTTCTTATTAGGTCGTTGAATTGAATTTATACTCAACTAGGTTAGCATTCAAAAACATATGAGATGACATAAAGTTATCATGATGTTTTAATATAATATATGCTTTTAACATTATGTGTAATTATTTTGTAGGATAAAATACGTACAAACTTAAATTTTCATAATCAATATTTTTTTTTTCAATAAGTTTATATACAGTATAATATTTGAAAATTACTACTAAAACATTTCCCACTAACTGTAATATTTTTTAAAAGTCTCAATATATATATATATATATATATATATATATATATATATATATATATATATATATATATATATATATATATATATATATATATATGCGAGTTTAATTTTTATGCATTGTTAATCTAAACAGTTTACACTGTCAATTAATAAAAATACCTCAAACATCAATTTTAAAACAATTATTATGAAATTTAACAAATTTATAATAGTAATATACAAATAAATCCCAACACCAAAAAAGATTTATATGTATTTTAATTCAATTATATATTCATTTCTTCGAAATAACTATATATAAATTAAATCAATTTTCATTACTTTTTAATTTAATATTTTACATTTATTTTTTGTTTATTTCCCATTAATAAAAAAATGTATATATTTCATTAAACACTTATTAATTAAATAAAAATTAAACTAATAAAAGAGTCAATTGGTCAATCCAATTCCTATGCAACTAATATATTCCTTATTGGCAAATCACAAATATAAGATTTGATAATGATATTTTGAACATGGTCAATTTTTCTAGGAAATTAATAAAAAACGTTAAAAAGAATGATCATTATATATATATATATATATATATATATATATATATATATAATTAATAAATAAATAATTGAATGCACTTAATAGGAAATGTAAATGAGGACTCCATATTTGATAAAGGTAAAAAGAAGATAACTAGTTTAAAATTAAATTAAAAAAATAACTATTTCTAGAAATTATAAGTAAACTTTATTGGATTATTTTCTTTCTTGTTTTTTTTAACTAAATTAAAAAATATATTATTTTCCTTTTCTTTTCTTTTTTTCTCTTTTCAAAGTACCATTACAGTTGGAAAACTCAACCCGTAAGAAAAATGTAGCAATTAAATTTTGTGGGATATATTTTCTGTAACATGTAAGGATTAACTTAAGACTGACTTGTATTTTTTTGAAAATTAATGTAACATTAAATTATAAAATTTATGGAATACTTTACCAATACATTGTACAGCAAACATAATTATCATAAATTTTGATACATTCGCAGATTAAATAGCTATCATTTTGAAAAAGAATATATTATTTTATTTTCACATGATATGATATGATTACATGAAACTGTTATTAATCTTTTTCTTTGTCAATTGCATTACACCATTTCGTAACGCCTAAAAAGGTCACGTTCCTGTTCATAAGTGGAGTACACGTTAATTCTCTTACTTTCTCTTCGTGATTCTCTCTTTCTGAATTCCATTTTGCATTTGCATTTTGGTGTGACTTAGATCATGTTCCAATTCCAACTTTGAAACACCAGAGAAAAAAAAAAGTAGACATGCACTAGTATAAACTCTATCTTCCTTAACAACAAAAACTCTTGTGTGGACCCCTCTATCTAGCTATCCTCAACTGTCATGTACTATGACTATTCTTCGTGTCGTCCAACAACATTGTAAAGTGTAAGACTCTCAACTTTCACTTTCCTCCCGTAATCCTGACCTTCACCACCAATTCTCTCTCCTTTCTTTCTTGTCTTTCTTTCTTCTACTTTTTTCCATGTATTCAATGCCTCCCCATATCAGAATTATGCCTCAACGAATCCTGGGTCGGTGTTAAGATTAGCATTTTATTCTCTTTGACAGCAAGAAAGATATGCCCATTAGCAAAAGTTTTGATTTTTCTGGTGGGAAAATTTTCTGCCAAATGGCACTCCTCTCAGAGAGTGTGGTTTTTGCTGAACAATTTTTAGTCTGGTTCTTTTGAGGGAATGAGTTGTTGGTGGGATTGAGATTTAGAGAGAGTCGTGAGTTTTGATTCTTTTTGGTTTTTGTAGTGAAAGTTTGTAGAGAGAATTGAGTGGAGGTGTTTTGTGCTAGAGGTGGGTAAGGATTTAATGGAATTTGGATGCTCTACATGTTGTCATTTGAGTAGATAAATTGTTGGAGGAGATAAATGCGCTATTTATTGCAGGCTTGGATTCAGTTGTGCATAAGTAATGAGTCTTGTGACTTGAATTGGTGATTTTTAGAGTGTTGTGTGTCTGAAAGTATTGGTTTGGTATGATTGATAATCAAACTTTTTCATCACGTTTGATCATTGACTATGTTTTTTATTGGAAGAAAGCAGAATCAATTAGTTGTGATTCTTTGACTGGTTGTCAATTGTAAAAGCTGAAGCCTTATAAGTTATCTCAACTGGCCTTTTCTTTGTGGAGAGGAGCAAATAACCGAGGTTTTAAGCTTTTTCTGTGGAACTTCAGAATTCATATAGTTAAGGGCTGTGCGATCAGAGCATTGATACCTTCTCCTCCAACGGAAGCTAAAACATCGTGAGCTTCACTCAATTGGGAAACTTGGAGGACTGAAATAGGAAACCCCAAATGCTTCGTCAGTGGACTTATCAGGCTGCATCTTTACCTTTTGTTCCTTTACCATTCTGAGTCAACAAGGCTCAGAATATGAGGTACTAGTTGGAACCAATCTCATTTTTCATGTGATTATTCACTTGCTACATGATATAGATTCATAACAAATTTAGCTGCTTTAAATGCTATAGATCTCTAACTCGTTAGTCATTAAATCTCATTTTGCTATGACTATTCAGTTGTCTTTTTTTGCCCCAAAGATTGATAGTTTTGATCTGCATGGCTAAGTTTAATTCCTCTCGTATGTAACTAGGTTCTTTGCATGAGTTCATTCAACAAAAAATGTTGGCATGAATAGATTAGCTTGGTGTACATATAATGCATCTTTTATCCCATTGTTAGGGTGTTGTATGCATAAACTACGTGGTTTTGCAGGCATTAAGGAGTAATGATAATAGGTCTTTTGTTGGCTTCTAACTGCATCTGTTTGCTTTGTTCCTTTGTCAGGTTGGGCAATATTACTTATGAAATTTTTTGAATGACTGACTAAGTAAGGCCAAGACTACCATAACACCCTCAACAGAAAGGAAAAGAGGAATCAAGGATATAAATTGTACCCAATCATCATGGCAAAGAAGTCCCAAAGACGCACTGTGCGGTTTGAGAAAGATAAATCGGGCTGCATGTGGGGTTTTATTAGTATGTTTGATTTTCGCCATGGTCACTCCACTAGGAAGATGATTGCAGATAAGAGGCGAACCAGTAAGCATGCTGCTGGTAAGAACTGTGCTTATAAATTGAATATCGTACTCATTTCACGTGCATAAATCTATACATGATATATTTTATATGCTAAATAAATAACAAAAATAGTATATACTGAGGAATTGTGCAGGAGTGATGTTTGCATGTCTAACAAATGTTGAAATGATGTTAAGTTGATATCTTTCATAATCGTAAAAAATGTTTTTCATGCCTAATATCTATAGTTATTGTGGGATAATTTGACAAACAACTTCACTGGTTTAGTAGAAAAATTAATATTAGTTATTGAATTTCATTCTTTTATAACAGGGGCCATAAATTCTAAGACCAAGTTCCAATTGAGCAATTTGGATGAAGTTTGTCAAGACAGTTCTGTAAGTTTGTCTATGCTTATGCATCTTGAATTTTGAAAAGTTTACAAATTTTTTTTATCATGAGTAAATTTAAATATCTGCTAAGAGGATGCGTGTGCATTTACTGATATTACTGTGTCATGAATGTTTCAGGACAGTGGAGAGAGTAGAAGACCAACAGTTGTGACTGCTGCTAATAAGCCTAGCGTGAAGAAACTCATTGAAGAAGAGATGTTCTTTGACCAGAATAAAATGAAGGATACAGATAGTCATCAAATAGAATCAAAGGAATCCAAATTAAGGCGTGAAGTCCTTTTGAAGTTAGATTCCAAAAGAAAAAAGAAATTTTACAAGAAAAACTGTGATAAGGACACCAATGATATAAATTTGGATACAAGGTCAAAATTTGAAATCACAGGTAATCAGCACTCAAGGAAGCAATCCAAAGATAATTTTGATCTTGATAAGATGATTGCAGAATTTTGTCATCTAAAAGATGTTTGTTCCATGATGCATGGCAATGATGTAGAAGTAGAAGTTGATACACAATCAAACCAGAAGCGAGCTATTTCTGAAAATGAAAAAGAAGCAATATGTGAATTTGTGAATCAGATGATATTAAATGGTAAAGATCCAGCTGAAGCCAGAAAATTCCTTTGCTCCCATCAACTTGGGGAAACTCTCCAACTTTTGAGTTCAGATATGGAATTGTTTCTTTCACTGCTACAAAATCCGAATTCACATTTGTTGAAATATGTTCAAGAGTTTAGGAGTTCTCAGGGAACAAATGAAAAAGAATATGGTTGTGTAACTGGTTCCAACTTCTCCGAACAACAAGATCATGGAAACCTGAAACAAAATAGTGATCTAGTCAGCCATAAGAAGCATAACTTTTTCAGAAAAAAGGTGAAGTCTCATTCAAAAAGTTCAACAAATGAAAATGGGAACACTAATTTGTCAAGTATTGTTATTTTGAAACCTGGGCAGATGGGCTTGCAAAATTCTGAAACTGGAAAAAACCTTGCCTCATATCAAGACTCTCATGATGTTGTCAAATACAAGGGTCCTTCTGTGAGAGGTAGTTCACATTTTTCTCTCACAGAGATAAAAAAGAAATTAAAGCATGCAATGGGAAGGGAGAGACATGGAAACCTTGAAGGAATCTCAGAAAGACACCCTACTTTTGAATGTCAAAATAGGAGGCATAGCAACAAAGCCATTGGTAAAGACAATGTTGGAATGAGATCTCCTAATAAAGATCACTTTTTCATTGAAAAAATTGTAAGACCTGCCACTGGTGTATTGAAAGGAGGCAAGATTGGTACAACTAAAGATTTTGAATTGACTGTGGAACATGAAAATGGTAACTATCCAAAACAAAGGGTTTCTAACTTATATATTGAGGCTAAGAAACATCTATGTGAGATTGTAGGTAGTGGAGATGAGAAAATAGACATGTCAAGTAGGCAGATTTCCCGAACCCTTGGGAAAATACTATCTCTTCCTGAGTACAACTTTTCTCCCCTTGGCAGTCCTGGAAGGGATTGGGAGCATCATTTTGTGACTGCACAGACAAGATTTTCCACGTCAGATAAAATTTGGGATGCTAATAAGGATAATTTGTCTCCCAAACAAGGAGCCTTTGTTGGTCATTTAGATCAGGAAGCAGACAATTCAGAGAAGCAGTCAATAATTTGTGATGAAAACTCTATCAATAAAGTACAAGAAATTAAGTCAGACTCAAATTTCACAGACGACCTTTGTCATGTTGATGAAGTAGAAAATTGTTCTCCTGTTAGAGATGAGATAGTAACTGAAGGTATCATGATTCATGTCCAAAATATATGATATAAGTGATAGATTCTATGATAAACTTTGGTGTATTTTTTTTAGATATTCTGTTGCTTATCCTTTTATTAATTTCTGTGCAGGTGATGTAGAATCTGCAAAAGAGGTGATTGTTTTGGAATCTTCCTCACAACCAGTTGACCTCAGTGCACGAAAGGAGGACCAAAACTATGGTCTCTCAGAAAGTTCTGATTGTACAAGATGCTCTCAATGTTCAAAGCAGGTAATGTTTCCGTCTGCATTTTAGTTTTACATAAATCAATGATTCCGGACAAATTGATTATTATGCCAGACATGTGTTATCAAAATAAGGACTGGTTAAGATTTGTATAGCTGCGTAGTTCTATGACTTTATCTTTGGTGGAGTGACCCTTTATGTAATTTTAAACTATCATTTGTTCTTGACATAGGATGTAAAAGAAGAAAACAAACCAGCATCTCCACTGTCATCCCCCCCTTACTCTTCCATCACTAGTGTTACAGATATATCTGGGAGGCCAAGTCCTGTATCTGTTCTTGATACACCGTTCTTAGAAGATGATGTTCAGCCTGGTAAGCATTCCTGTAATAAATCCATGAAAGGCCTATATGACAATGTTCTTAAATAGTTAAACTCTCTTTTTAAAAGCTAGGTATTTAAAAACTTGTTTCCAATGTTTCTACTTTCGGCTGCCTCTAACTGTTTACTGAACACAAATAAAAATAGATAGTTGCAGGCTAGTTACTGGTAGAGCTCTAAATCATGCTTATCTTGAAATTTCTTAAAAAATTCTTTCAACTTATATTTTTGGTTGTATATTATTTTCCCTTTTTGTCCTCGGAGATAATAAAAAAGTTAGAATTATATCAAGGGACAAATCAGCACACAGTATGTAGCAATGTAACATATCTTTTTGTTTGCCATATTGATTTTAATCTCACGTCACATTCATTCATAATTTTCAGTTGAAGTACCAGTACGACCACTGAATTTTGTAGAACAATGCTCTTCACCTTTGAATGAAATCAATAGAGAAAAGTATTGTCTTAAAGAAAATGAATGGATATATGATTACATCAAAGCAATCCTGCAAGCCTCTGGATTGACTATAGATCAATTATCCACGAAATGTGTTTCTTCAGACAAGATCCTAGATCCTTCCTTGTTTGATGAGGTAGAGTTCTTACCAAGCCAGCATTGCCATGATCAGAAGCTCATTTATGACTGTGTCAATACAGTTCTCATGGAGGTTTGTCAGAATTACTTTGGGGTCTCACCTTGTGTGTCATTCATAAATCCTGGCATAAGGTCTTCTCCAAACATGAAGAAGGTTATTCTCAAGGTTTGGGAAGGAGTGTGCTGGCATTTCCTTCCCTTGCCCCCACCACGTACCTTGGACAAAATTATTAAAAAGGACATGGATAAAAATGGGGCATGGATGGACCTTAGACTTGAAGCTGAAACAATTGGTTTTGACATGGAAGAAGCAATTCTTGCAGAACTGATGGAAGATACAATACTAAGCTGTGTAAGCAAAAGTTCACAAGTTGTTTGTTCTCAGCTTCAATTTGAATTTAAGGACAGTGAAAACACCACAAATGTGTAAAAGACAACTTAGTACTTTTTATTCATTATCATCTCTTAAATTCCTTTATGAGAGGTGGAAGGGAGAAGTAAAGAATATTGGGATCTTGTAGGCTTTTTCTAAGCATATTTGGTAGCTTAACATTTATCTTTGGTCATGCTTGACTTCTCCAGTGTTAACAGTTTCAAGTTGAGTAAGGATACTCAAATAAGGGACCACAAGTCACAAATAAGTGAAGAAGAAGTCAGTTGCAATTGCTTCTTGCTAAAGTATAAATGATGCTTATCTTGTTTACAATGACAGAAGTTAACAGCTTTATTGTGTGTGCTTCACTTCACTCACTAAGGGCAAATTGTATTTAGTTGTAGATTTTGCAGAGTTTGATATGTTGATCATATTAACAAGGTGTGTTTGATATCATTATCATCCTTACTTTGTATATTAATTTTTCCTTCCTCAATCTATATATTGTATGTACAAGTTTGGAAATGATGAAGTTTGGATTCAATAAACTTCAACTTATTGAAGTTTTCAAGGGAAGAAGACAGAGCAGACATGAAATTGTGACATTAGTGTCATTAGGAAACTTCAAACTGCTGTATTTGAAGCTAAAGAACATGTGAACAAATTTTCATTGCTTTTGTTGAAAGTCCCACATCGCCTACCTCATATCATTTGGTATGGTTTAAATACATGTTAGGCTACTCCACATATTGCCAATTGGTTTTATGTTGGAACCTTAACATGGTATCAAGAGCTTAAGGTCTCTTGGGAATTTTTTTCGGCTCTGCCACTGAACCTGCAGCTGTCGCCGCCGTCGCCACCACCGTCCGCCGCCGCCGCCGTCACCAGAGTAGCAGTTCGGACCGCCGAGCACAGGGTTTTGCTCGCCTCCTCCGTGCGACCTCCACCGTGGAAGTTTCGCGGTCATCGGAGCAGCCACGCTCCCTCACGCGCCTCCCGAAGCCGCACCACCTTCTCCCGTTCTGCCGTGCGTGGCGGCGCGTCTCGCCGCCGTTCAGGCCGCCGATCTTTGCGCCGGCGTCGCCTCCTTCTCCTCTCTCTGGATCTGTCCTCGCTGCTCCAATCGGACCTCTTTGGTGTTTTAGGGTTTTTCTCTTCTTTCCTCCATGGCATCTTCCGCTGCCACTTCTAATTCTGAAGTTACCTCTGTCAGCTCCGGTGGGTCTGAACAATCTGTTTTTACTAATTATGTCAATGTGAATTTACCCATTGATAAATTAGATGGTACGAATTATGCAACTTGGGCATCTGATATTAGACTTTGGCTTGAGAGTCAGGGGTATGTTGATCATCTTACTACCAAGGTAGATGATGTTCCTTCCAATGATCGTGTCCGTTGGAAGAAAGTTGATGCTCATATATGTATGGTTTTCAAGAATACCATCCAATCTTCTTTAAAACAAATTTTTCGATCGTATGACACATGTTATGACGTTTGGGAACAAGCCAAATTATTATACACCAATGACACTCAACGTCTTTATGGTGTTTGTTACAATCTTCTTGATGTTATTGCTCCTCGAGATAAGGATCCTGTGGCGGATTATGTGGGTAAGATCCATGCTCTTCTCCATGAATTTAATGAGTTATTACCCCCTGCCTCGACTCCTGCCCAAGAATTAGAGCAACGATCAAAGTTTTTCATGGTTTTGATGTTACACGGACTTGCTGATAAATATGCCCCTGTTCATGACCAGATTTTGGGTTCCCCTGTTACACCCAGTTTTACCGCTACCAGTTCCTCCCTTTTGCGGGTGTCATGTAAACCTCTCAATATTCCCCCTGTAGTTTCTAATGATTCATCTGTCTTGGCCTCTCACCGTGATGATCGTAATCGCTCTCACAAGCCAGGCAAAGGGCGTGTCAAGTGTGACCATTGTGGCAAACTAGGCCACAAAATTGACAAATGTTATGCTTTACATGGTTATCCTCGCCGATCTGCTGCAGTTGCTCAGACTGATTCTTCCGCACAATCCTCTGCTATGGATCCTCCTTCGTCTCGTACCTTCGGACAAATCTGCTATCTTCAATGATTTTCTTCAATGGTATGAGGATCGAAAGCCCTCCAGTTCCACTACTTCATTGCCCACACAGGTACATCTTTTGCTTGGTCCGACTCACTCTTCTTCTATTGGCCCTTGGGTTCTTGACTCAGGCGCCACCGATCACATCACTGGTAACAAATCCTTATTTTCCTCTTTCACTTCTTCTCATAATTTACCCTCCGTTACAATGGCTAATGGGTCTACAACTTTAGCTCATGGTGTTGGAACGGTTACTCTTTTTCCCTCGTTGTCCATTGATAATGTTTTGTATGTACCGGGTCCCCCTTTAACTTATTATCCATTAGCCGTCTAACTCGATCTCTTGATTGTGTTATCTCTTTTACCAAAACTTCTGTTTCCTACTAGAGCCGGAGCTCGCAAAGAGTGATTGGCACTAGGATGTGAGTCACATGGACTTTATTATCTTCAACCTTCTCCACATGTTGGCACGGTTATGGAGTCTCCTTCTCTCCTTCATGCTCGGCTTGGTCACCCCGATCTGTGCAAATTACGAGCAACTTGTTCCCGGCTTATCCCAGTTGTCCAATTTGGTGTGTGAGTCCTGTCAGTTAGGCAAACATAGTCGTACTTCCTTTTCTCGTAGTGTTTCCCAGCGTGCTTCATCCCCCTTTGCCTTAGTTCACTCGACATTTGGGGACCCGAGTCGTGTTAAGTCTAATTTAGGTTTTCAATATTTTGTTACTTTTATTGATGATTTCTCTCGTTGTACTTGGTTATTTTTAATGAAAAATCGTTCGAGTTGTTTTCTATATTCCAAAACTTTTATCATGAAATTAAAAATCAATTTGGTGTCTCTATTCAAACTTTTCGAAGTGATAATGGCCGTGAATATCTTTCAAACTCGTTTAAACAATTTATGGCTTCTCATGGCATTCTTCATCAAACTTCTTGTGCTTATACCCCTCAACAAAATGGGGTGGTCGAGCGCAAGAATAGACACCTTATTGAAACAACCCGTACTCTTTTAATTCATGGTGAGGTTCCTCAACATTTTTGGGGTGATGTTGTTCTTACTGCCTGTTATCTTATTAATCGTATACCCTCTTCGGTTTTAGATAACAAAATTCCCCATTCTATTTTATTTCCTCATGACACTCTCCATCCTTTACCTCTGAAGGTTTTTGGGTCTACCTGTTTTGTCCACAATTTTGATCCTGGTCATGATAAGTTATCTCCTCGATCACACAAATGTGTTTTCTTAGGATTTACTCGATCCCAAAAAGGATACAAGTGTTTTTCTCCTTCTCTTAATCGCTATTTTGTGTCTGGCGATGTCACCTTCAATGAGTTTTCCTTTTACTTTAAGGACCCTTCCCTACCTGCTGAGTCTCCATCTGCTACAGTTCTCATTCCTGTTCTCATTGATCCTTTTGTTGAGGACCATCCACCATTAGCCCCTCCTCCTCCACCACCCCTTCAGGTTTATAGTCGCAGACCTCGCCCACAATAGACGCCACATGACTCACTCCCAGTGCCAAATACTCTGCCTCCTCCGGTTCCGTCCACGAGTCCGACCTTCCTATTGCCCTTCGTAAAGGTACGCGTTCTACTCGTAATCCTTCTCCACATTATACCTGCTTTAAGTTATCATCGAATTTCTTCACCATTTTATACCTGTCTCTCGTCTATTTCTTCGTGTCTATTCCTAAATCTGCTCTCGAAGCCTTAGCCCACCCTGGTTGGCGTCAGGCCATGCTAGATGAACTCGGTGCTCTTCAGACTAGTGGAACATGGACGCTTGTCCCATTACCATCTGGAAAATCTGTTGTTGGTTGTAGGTGGATCTTCGCTATCAAGGTTGGTCCTGATGGTACTATTGATCGCCTCAAAGCTCGCCTTGTAGCCAAAGGCTATACCCAAATTTTTGGGTTGGATTATGGTGATACTTTCTCTCCAGTGGCAAAGATGGCTTCTGTTCGTTTATTCATTGCCATGGCTGTTATTCAACAATGGCCTCTTTATCAACTGGATGTCAAAAATGCTTTCTTGAATGGCGATTTGCAAGAAGAGATTTATATGGAGCAACCTCCCGGATTTGTTGCTCAGGGGGAGTCTTCTGGATTGGTATGTCGTCTTCGCAAATCTTTATATGGCCTAAAACAGTCTCCTAGGGCCTGATTTGGAAAATTTAGCAGCGTTGTTCAACAATTTGGCATGACTAGAAGTGAGGCGAGACCACTCGGTCTTTTACCAGTCACTCGAATGCTTGGATGTATCTATTTGATAGTGTATGTCGATGACATTGTTCTTACAGGTAGTGACCATCATGGCATCTCTCGGATGAAACAACACCTTTGCCACCATTTTCAAACCAAAGATCTTGGCAAACTCGGATATTTCTTGGGTATTGAGGTAGCACAATCTACCGATGACATTGTTATATCTCAAAGAAAGTATGCATTGGATATTTTGGAGGAAACTGGGTTGATGAATTTAAAGCCTGTTGACACACCCATGGATCCTAATACCAAACTCTTGCCAAATCGGGGGAGCCAATGTCAGATCCCGAACAGTATAGAAGATTAGTTGGAAAATTAAATTATCTTACGAGTTACTCGCCCGACATTTCCTTTGCGAGTCGGTGTGGTGAGTCAATTCCTCAATTCTCCTTGTCAAGATCATTGGAATGCAGTCATCCGTATATTGAAGTACATCAAAAAGTCTCCTGGAAAAGGTTTGGTGTATGACTCCCATAATCATACAAGAGTTGTCTGCTATTCGGATGCCGATTAGGCGAGATCTCCCTCCGATAGAAGATCTACATCTCGGGTATTGTGTTTCCATTGGTGGTAACTTGATCTCATGGAAAAGTAAGAAACAAAGTGTTGTGGCAAGATCCAGTGCGAGAGCGAGTATAAAGCTATGGCCTCGACTACCTGTGAACTTATTTGGCTCAAGCAATTGCTTAAAGAGCTACAATTTGGAGATGTC